GGGGAAAAAAAAAAAAAAAAAAAAAACAACGAAGAAAGTTCAGATGCAAAACAACAGAATCTCTCCAAAGCCATCTCAAACTTAAATATTCGCAGAACGATATCCACTAGCAGCTTCATTATTCGAACATGAGAGTACTCAATTATATTAGAACTCGTATATAACCATTTAAATATGTCACAAGCAATTTACTAGTATATATTGCTTGATATCTTATATTTTTATCTCACATGTCAAGAAACGAACCCCTTCATGCTTTTTCTGCATTTTTATCACAATAGTACATAAAACAATGTGTTTTTCAATTACTATTTGAAATGAAGTTATTTTTAGCATAAAGTGATAATTTCACACACTAATACAAAACATATTAGCCTAAATGGTTCTAGTAACCATTTGGCAAGTTTCATAAGCCTAAAAGGTTTAAATCATTTGGGCTATATTAATCCAAACAGTTTAAATAGTCTGGGCCCAACAATATAAAAAAGCAGAAAATTTTGGCCGTACGGTTTGCCCAAATGGGTATAACTAGGGGTGCATTCGGTCCAGATACGGCTCGGATATGATGCTTATCATATCCATATCTGCGTACCCATCTCGGATACGGATACAGATATACCTCGGTAAAGAAAATTCATAACCATATCCGCTAAAATCGAATACGGTTACAGATGTACACGCGGATGTATAAGTGGATATGCATGCGGATACAAAACAGATATGAAAAAAACTAGATAGTATTGAGAAAAACATAGTTTATGTGATACAAAAGAGTTCGTTAATATGTTCATTATAGCTGAAAAGTTAAGAGCAGACATCTTGATCATAAAAAATAACCACAAATACATAATCTAAGAATCGTAACTATCGTAAGAGTATAACTAATATGTATTCAGATATTTCGGATACGGATACAGATATTTCACTAAAAACCCATATTCGTAACCATATCCTATCGGTTATAGATTTGAGTAACCATATCAGTATTCTAATGCATACGATTATGGATATACGGATACAGTTTAGCAACCCTAGGTAGAACCATTTGAGCCTTTTTTACCACTTTTCCCGAAAAAATAAATCACTCTCATATGCCAAAATCCTAAGAAATCACAAATTTCTGATCACGTACGCCTAGGGCTGTCAATCCGAGCCGTCCCGACCCGAAAAACCGGGCCCGGTTCGGCCCGACTCGGAAAACCGGGCCCGGGCCTGAGCGGGTCGGGCTCCGGGCCGACCCGTTTTTTTAATTTTTTTAATTTTTTAATTTTTTAAAAATCCCAATAAATCATAAAATATACATAAAAATTACAGAAAATGACATAAATTTTTTAACTAACTTGAAATGACATAAATTACAAGTACAAAAAATTATAAAAATAAAAGATGATAAAAATATCAGTAAATCCTTTACAAGTATAAATTTATTTTAAAATTTATCGCATCACAATAGATGAGTACATCCCAACTAGGTTGACACCTACTCACATTTATCACTATCATTTGTAACTTTTTCTGAAATAATTCATTACAAATTTAAAGCTAAGAAATAAAAATTACAATTTAATAAATATTATCTAATCTTTATACCTATCTGCTAGTCCCAACTCTTCAAATTTATCTTCAATTCCAGCCATCCAATCGATGCCTTGCGTTCGCTTCTCATACCTCCACCAATCTTGTAAGCACATCACCACTTGTACAGTATACGGATCTAAGCATGTCCTGTGGTCGTCGATCAAACGTCCTGCTGTGCTGAAGGCGGATTCCGAAGCTACCATCGAAACCTACACTGTTAGTAAGTCACGAACCATGGTGAAAAGTATAGGATATGAAACTGATCCATATACTTTCCACCATTGTAAAATATCTAAAACATTTCCTTGACATTTAACTAAGGAAGCAGATAAATATTCATCTATTTCAGAAACCTTTAATGCTGATCCAAGTCCAGATCCACCAGTTAGTTCAGCTACCATTGCATACCTATCAAAACTTATACTTTTACCTCGGCCTGTGCTCGAAGGCGCCGAAGCTGTAGACTGTTGTGCAGCTACACCATGTCTAGCTGCATACTCATCATATAATATTTGAAAATAATTTCTAATAGATAAATGATGAGAAGTAGCAGTAAGGGTGGATCCATCATCCAAGTCTATAATCTGTCCATTATATAATAATTGTAACAAATTTCGAAGGCCAATATCCTTCAAACATGGATCAATAAGAATTCTCAAACCAAAAATATGAGGAATATACCTAAAATACTTATTAAATTTGCTTTCCATTTGAAAAATTATAGATCCAAAAGTATCATCCATACGATATTTTGAAAAAAACTTTTGAATATTTAAAATTTGTAAAGCAGCTAAAGTAATTGTTGGATAACAGCCAGATAATAACATTGTAGCATCATAAAAGACTTGTAACATCTCATTTAAATTACATATAATTATCCATTCATCTTCAGTTATTCCATAACTACTACCAGAACTAGAACTAGAAGCATAAAAATTTATAAAATCATTTACAATTTCTTTATATTCTATTGCTACACTTAACATTGCATATGTGGAATTCCACCTATGGTTAACATCTTTTGAAATTAGTCTGGGCTTATAATTTTTTCTTTTACAACATTGTTTCCATCTTTTAATTCTTATTTCAGAAGCATTATGCATATTAGCAATAGTTCTAACATTTTCTATCATGAGTTTAATTTCAAAAAATGCACTTTAAACAATTAAATTTAAAATATGACAGATACATCTAATATGAAAAAGTTCACCATGACATGGCAATGACAAAGTTGTTTTTGATAAAATTAACAGCTACATTATTATTACTAATTAATTTTTAGTTTTATAAGTTCTTCAATTATTAAATTTATAGCATTAATATCAGTATGTGACTCTTCAATTACAATAAAAGAAACAACTCTTTTAAACATTTGCCAATTTTCATCAATCCAGTGTACTGTGATACATAAATAACCAGTTTGCATTCTAGATATTCAAATATCAGAAGTTAAAGAAAATTTACAGTTTAAAATTTTAAAATAAGAAATTATTTTTTCTTGTCCCTCCTGATAATATTTTAAAATATCACGTTGACAGGTTTGACGAGAAAATTTGGTAAATGCAGGATAAAAACCATCTCTAAATAAATCTTCAAATTCATCATCTTCTACTAATTTAAAAGAAAAGTTTTTAAGAATAATAAACCTGATTACGCATTTTCTCGCTCGGGCAGCGTCATAATTCTAATTACCGAGACTACCAGAGGAGGAGGATTGAGAAATCATAGATTGTCAGATATCACCTTGAAGATTCTGGCCTTTGTTGTGTTTTTCAATATGGAGTTTGAGGTGGTTGGTGCCGCTCTTATGATGAGCTTGGAAAATCTGGTCGCACAACGCACATTTAGCCTTCTGGGTGATGATCCTACCATGTTCATCCTTGGTGACGTCTATCTTCTCAAAAATATTCCACACATCGGATCTCGGTCTTTTAGGAGCTCTTGGTGCAGATTCGTCGCCACCAGATTCAGGATTAACACCGGTAGGAGGAGTAGTTGTTGTAGGAGGACTCATTTCTGGATCAGTAGGAGATAGATTTTGCTCTTCATATTCAGATCTAGAAGCCATTTGATGAAAGTATTAGAAAATATAAGAGAGTATAATATCGTATAAGAGAGTATTAGAGAGAAGTAGAAGAGTTCTGGTGTGAGGAGAAGAAGTAAAAACCCTCCTCTATTTATAGAGGCAGCCCCCTATGCAAATGATAAAAAAAACCCTCACATTTTGACCGTTGTTAGGGGCAAAATGGTCAAAACCCCAATATGACCGTTATGCCCGGGACGGCCAAAACGGTCAATTTTTTGACCGTTTTGACCAGTCCGGGCCGGGCAGCCCAGCCCGGCCAAAACAACCCAACGGTCATCTTAGGTGACCGTTGGGACCGGCCCAGCCCGACCGTTTACCACAAACGGTCACCTTCTGGTGACCGTTTCATCCGGGCCAGGCCCGGACCTGGGCGGCCCAGCCCGGATCTCGTGCCCGCCCCAACACTGTTCGGACTGGGTCCGGGTCCGGACCGATTTCTGAAAAACAGACCCGAGCCCGGGCCCTGACCCGGGCCTGGCCCGGGTATAGGCAAAACCCGGGCGGGGCCGGGCACCGGGCTGGGCCCGGGCCACGGGCTTTTTGGATAGCCCTATGTTGGGCGCAGAGTCACGCCCACTGCCGCGAAAGCGATATCACCTGAGAGAGAGCCTTGGCTTTTGTTGTCCCAAAAGCACAAGCCAACCTCTATATTCTTGTTTCTCGAAGGAAACGAGAATAGATAATGAAATTCTTATTTCTCAAAGGAAACAAGAATCGAAAGTGATATATTTCATCAAAGTGAAATATACACTCTTCCTCTCATCAGCTCTAAGACCGAATATTGAGGGAACCTACAAGCAATAGTCAACACCCAGAAAACAGTAAATACACGAGATTTACGTGGTTCGGCAAACTTGCCTACGTCCACAGGAGGGGTGAGAGGAGATTTTACTATGAGAAGAACACCGATGACTTGTACAATCCACAAGCTCGTCTCAAAGAAAAAGATC